GAGTTGAAGTCCACCCATCTTAAAGTTGCTGAGGTTGAGGAACCCTGTTCTAGGGCAAAGCTATACCTTTTCAGTGGGAGCAGCATGGTGGGGGAATGTCATTTTGGTGCTAGGTTAAGCTCCTTCCAGTCTCTCTCAAATGATTTGATGCTGCTTTCCTATTTTTGTGGCAATATTTGAGGTACCAGATGAACGTGTTTTAATCACTTGGGCCTTTTTCTGATTTTATAACCACTCAGCTAAGAGATGAGGTATTGATATTTAAAATATATGAATAAATACAACACTGGAGGAAATTATGATTGTGAGACAGGCAAGGGATGTAATTATTAAAGATTGGTTGTTCTTTTTGGCTGCTAGTGTTCAAGAAGCACTCACTGGAAGAATTGGTTAAACAGGAAGTTAAATGCTTCAGGTCTCCAATAGCAGGAAAATGTTTTGGAGGTAGCCAATACTCCAAGAATAAAACATTTTAACTCTTATGTAGCCATGGGACCGAATAACAAATTACTCCTCATGTTCATCAATTCATGCAAATTTGTGCTCTGAGCTGTACAGAGTTGTAAGATGAGTGGCCATTCAGATCAGATCAGATCAGATCAGATCAGATCAGATCAGATCAATAAATAAACACTTTCTAAGCAAACTACCTAAATCCAACAAGCACTTAAGTCAGTATAAGCACCCCATCCATAGGAAATGGAAGTTGTTGAACTTACCTAAGTACAACTGTGGCCAATAAGTTATTCTCTTCATAAGTGGGTAAGTCACCACGAGAAATAAAGAAGCAGCTCCTAAAAGAATGCTGTGAAAAATTGGAAGCTTTAAATTAAAAGTACACTTTTTTCTTCCAGTACCCTATTTTCTAATGTCTGACTGTAGCCTATAAGCAGTAGGAGAAAAGGACGTCTTTTGCAATAAATTATGAAGCAAGGAAGGTATTAAATACACTTCACAGAGACCCCTTTGTACAGCGGCATCAACATCAAATCTGCGCTCTTTCATGAAGACCACGGCTCATCCAGAGGTTCTCCAATTTTGTGGTACTATGACCCCCTAAATTGATATATGCATTTTTGTTAAGAGAACGAATGTTTTCATTGAGCTTAAACCTGGACAACAAATAAACAAACAAGCCATTTACTAAAAATATGTAACTTACCTATTTTCTTGACAGAGATTTACTTTTATCAACACTATTGGTAGATTGGTCATGTTGAGCTTTGGGGTTACCACTCAACGAAAACATTTCTATTCTATTTATGTCTTTACTCAATGCACACATTGCCATATCCCCAAAGGACTCCTGAGAGTTAACAACATAATAAACTATATCAAGCAAGAATATTGAAATGTCCATGGCACAAAATAAAGAATAAAAGATAGAAGAAACCACACAGCAAAACTAACATATATAAAAGCAAAATGGAGATGGCTATCCATTCAACACTGCCCAGAAGTGCTTTAATTAACTTCTAGAAGGCTACTAAAGAATGGCCAATTGAGTGTCCACAGCACAGGTCTCAAACGTGTGGCCCATGGACCACATGTAGCCTGCTCAGATTCTTTGTGTAGCCTCTGACAGCTCACTAATATTAACAAAACTGTAAGATGCTGATGAGGCCTGAATCCTGCTGGGGCAGTTCTGCAGTCCAGAAGGATGTCATGGTTGATGGTATCCGTGGTGAATATAATTTGCTTGCTAGCTGGTAGAACTCAAGTATCCCCTTGAGCAGATTGCAGACTCAGAATCTACATTTTCACGAGGAGTCACGGCTCTTAGTCAAACAGACACAGAGAGATAGTCCAACTCCTTCCAAAAACCTACTTAAGAAGGTCTCTATTGTCAACGATGGCTTATGCAAACAACTGTTCACGATTAACTTACCTGTAATAATTTAAACATAGCAGGACACATAAAGCCAAACTAAGCTGGGTACCAAGAAAAACAAGGGCTTGAAAACGGGAAAGTTCTCCAGCTGCCAGCGGTCGACTTGCAGTTCTTACAACCTAAAATACAAACAATTATTTCAGAGGCTGCATTCCATCACTTGACCATGGATATATACAAATTACAGAATTCATTCAGTCTGTAGCTTGTGCATACTGTATATACTCACATACAAGCCCATATGCAGATTTATTCATGTATTTATTTATAAATCAAATTTATACACTGCCCATCTGATTATCAGTGACTCTAGGCGGCTCACAGGTAAAAAACATAAAAACATTTAAAAACTACAAAGCACATAAAAAGTACAAAGTTAACAGATGGAGAGCATCCTCAAGGCGCCAGCTGCCCCAATGTTGGGAGCCCCCACTGGATCCCCAAGCTAATTGGCAGAGCCAGGTGTTAAAGCTCTTCTGGAAGGCCAGAAGAGTGGGGGCCAACCTCACCTCGGGAGGCAAGTTATTCCACAGGGCAGGGCTGACGGCAGAAAAGGCTCTCCTCCTAGACGCCACCAGTCAAATTCTCTGTTGGTTCACACCATGCCCTTCCTGCCAGACTGGGTGGGATGGGCCAATGTAACTGGGATGAGGCGGTTCCTCAGGTAACCTGGGCCCATAAGCAGATAAGTTGATCCTCAAATTTTTAATCAGAATACCATGAAAAATGCACCACCTGCAGATAAGACGACCTTCGAAATTTTTGTATAATTTTCACAATTGGCTTATGATTATCCATTTTTCATGGTATTTTGGTTGAAAATTCAAGGGTTGGCTTATCTGTGGATGGGCTTATATGCTAGTATATATGGATATATGGGTACTTTAAAAAAAGTATTACTATATATATTGTGGATAAGCTGAACCAATTTTGGGGGTGCATTTTGGTACCTAACATTCTTGGCCTGGTGAGTATTTACAGCAATATTTTTCCTTGCTGGCTTTTGAGTATATGGCTTTCCCCTTCCCACCGAGTGGGCCAAAAGCAATAGGGGTCACTGTATTTATTTTCATGCCTAATACTAAACTAGGATATTTAAAACCAAGTTAATAGGATGAGTAATCCCGTTGCTGAACAATCCTTTAGTGGCATAGTTTATGCATAATATGGGGTATGTTTGTACATCAGGTAAGCCAAAAGCAAACAAACAACATTATGGCTTTGCATTATGAGTAAACAGCTAAAATCTGTTTTTGCAAAACAACAGCATCACATTATATGGATCATGTTTCTATTTCCATGTTCACCATTCTCCCCTCTAAGCAGCTATGGGGAATAATTCAAATGTATTTTGTTGTTTCAGAGAAACTGAAATTTGTGTGCTGCCCAAACCCAGTGAACTACAAATCATGGTTTCTGAATCTGGCTTGTTTCAGGTTCCTGTACCCTCTACAAAGATAATGTAAAGGCAGAAGAGAGACCCCAAATGATTAAGGAAACTCCCCCAAAGGTTTCATCATTTCAGGACCTTCAGCTTTCAAAAAAGGCAATTGAGAGACAACCCAGGTGTATAATATTACACATAGGAGGGCTCTTCCACTCTTTCACTTCATATTAAATCCCAAGTTCATTCAAAGAAATTAAATAATCAGAAATCCCAGTAAAATAAAAGAATCTGCACACAGCAGATAGTTTAATGATAGGATTCACTACCACAATCTGATAATAATGATCAGAAGTGAAATAAGCAAATCATCTATTGAGTCTTGATGATTATAGGTGTCCAGAATCATACAAATTGCTTGGAAACACAGGCTACAAGAACCCATGATTGCTTGTGAACTTCCACTCAGGACTATTGTGTTTTCCAGGGACAGAATGCTGATTTGATCCAGCGTGGTTTTTTTTTAGATCAGACATGTTTTTTCACTCTAGATATTTAAAGGTTGGGGGGCAATGGTAAAATAAGAGACCTATGCTAGCATTTTCAACATTTTTTAGCTGTATCACAGATTTCAGCGTTCAAACTAACCTTTAAGCCCAAGGATCCAGGGCTTGAATGAATCAATGTACAAACTGTTGGGGGAACGCTAAATTCTGGTCTAATGGGCATTTTCTGTTCAGCAAGTTTAAAGAAACTGCGTAGGCACTTAGAAACAGAACGGGCAGCTGGCATTGAAAGGGTGTTCAAAGGAACTGTAGAAGGTCTCTGATGTGACTGTGGATCTTTTAATCTAGCAATTTGGTTCACCTCTCTAAGAATTGCTAGACAAAGATGGAGGGAGGAAGGGGAGGGACAGTGTTGTCCAAACTTGGCCACTTTAAGATGAGTGGACTTCAACTCCCAGAATTCCCCAGCCAGCAAGTCCACTCATC